CATCGGTCCTGGTTGAAGCTGAACTGCCAGTTTCACGACCTCTGCTGGGATGCCGTCTGGGCCCGGGGCTTTCCTGTTGCGGAAGGACTGGGCTGCATCCTGCATCTCCTGCATGGTGAAAGGGGGAAACTCCTCCACCTGCAGCTCCGTTGGCTGTCGCGCTCTTGCCGGGTGGTCCGGAAAGAGGGCGTCCACGATCGCCGATGCCTCGTCTGCGGGTAACGCCGCGGGGCCGTTTTGGGCACCAATCTTGCGACGCACAATACGGTACCCTAGACCCCACGGATCACGGTTGACCTCTTCGCGGAGGTCCTCCCAGCAGCGCCGCTGGTTCACGCGAATAGCGTGGTGGAGCTCGCGGCGCTTGGCCCTGTAGGATTCCCACAGGGCCTCTCCATCGGTGGTGCGCTTCGCGCGCTGGGATGCTCTCCGCAGACGATGGCAGTCCCTCCGGAGGTCGGCGATATGGAGCTCGTCTGGCACTGCGTGGCTTTCCGCGGCTCATCGACGCGTCGCACGCCTTATGGATGGCGTCCATGGTTGCGTCGACGAACCGCTCCAGCGATAGCCGGGTCCACGGTCCTCCGTCGGGCTGCGAAATGTTCTGCATCCCGACTTGGAGGGCCTCTTCGAAGACCTCCTTCTTGAGCGTTTGGAGGTTCCACCCTCGAACAGGGGGTGGAACCTTGCTCCGACTTCTTCTCCTGGCTATACGGAAAACCACATACTGGTGGTCACTCCCCGTGTAGTCCTCAATGACTCTCCACTCATCGACACGGGGGGCGACATCCTCAGAAGCCATCGTGATGTCGATGATGGTCTCCTGATAACCAAACCTCCGGAAGGTCGTGGACGACCCTCGGTTGAGGATCTCCAGGTTCCGGCGGGCCGCCAGTTCGACGACCAGCCTTCCCCTGGTGTCCGGTCTGGGCATTCCCCACTCGATCGCCTTCGCGTTGAAGTCCCTTCCGACAACACATCCGCCCTCCATTCCCAGGATGGTGTCTTCGAGGGCTTCAATCTTCTCGCGGAAATCCGCGATGCGGTCGTTAGGGGAAAGGTACACGCTTACCAGCGTCACCCCCTCTCCCTTTACCCAGACAAATCCGGCGCCTGCCCCGTGCGTCTGTACCCGGAATTTGGAAAGATCCGGGATCCAGATCGCAGCAGTTCCCAACGTGTCGGCGAACCACGTTGGTCCTTCTCGAGCGCGGTACGGTTCACTGAGCAGGAGAATATCGATCTCCTGTTCTCACCGCAGCTGCTCGAGAAGGGCGTCCGCGACTCGGCTCCGGTTAAGGTTGCCCTGGAGCATCTTAGCCATTACGTTTCTTGGCTTCGGCTAAAGCGTCGCGGTACGCCTTGCAGACGCCGGACCCTAAAACGTGCTGCAGGTCTGCGCCTTTGAGACCGTGGTCAGCACAGACCGCACACCTCGGGGTCTTCTGACAGCCATTAGCCGCATGCCCCTTATCCCCGCATCGGTAGCAGTTATTCTGCCGATCGGGGCCCCTACAGCCACGTGCCAGGTGCCCGTAGCCCAGGCACCTGAAGCACCTCATGACCGTGGTCCTCTTTCTGGGTCGGGATATGACCATACCGACCCTTAGACGACCGCAGTCCAGGAGTCTGGCCGCCGCCCGCTCCTCGAGCTCAATTATCGCGAGCTTTTGGCCCCGAGCGTTCTCCTTCGTTACGTGTACCCGCATGACTACGGCGGAGTCGCCCAATTCCGCCCTGAGGGCCCCTTCCACCTCACCAGCTGTGGTGAGGCAGTCGAGGTCCCTCAGCTCGATTGTCAACTATTACATTCTATTGTGGCGGCACTTCCTTTGATCACCCTATACGTCTAGAAGGGACGGTCGAGGCACGGCAGTTCAAAGGATGCCGCGAGTGAAAAAAGTGAACATGCAATAACGAGAATTTCACTATTAGTAATTTTCAACTTATTTTTATGAAAATTATACCATTGGATTATTGAGATCGTTCTGATTAAAATGAGTCCAAACACGACGTAAATCGGATCATATTTACGTTATCTAATAAATACATAAATCATAATGAATCATGTAGAGTAAATACAGTTCAAATTATATCGTGTTTGGACTGATTTTAATCGGAAAAATGTCAGCTATCCATTGGTGCTACAATTATAAAGGTAAGACGAAAATGACTGAAAATAAAATTTTCTTTACTGCATGTTTACTTTTTCCAGTCGCAGCATCCATTTGATGTACGTCTGTCTTCTTTCTTTTTATTGAATTCATTTTCTGCCCATCTCTACTGAGATTAGGTTTCACTGAACTGAGCTGAACTCGCTGCACTGAGGCATACTAGAAGTTAGCTCCCCACTTGTAAAATTATTAAGATTTGACAATTGTGCTGACTTGTGCTAGGTTTATGCTACATTGTGCTCGAATATTAAAATCGTAATATGAAAAATACGATGGAAAAAAGAAAAAACGATTTTTTAGGTCAGCCCTCCACTTTCCATGTATTTCAATTTTTCCAATTGTGCTAAGTTGTGCTAAAACACCGCTCTTAAAAAATGACTAAAAGAAATCTTACGATAAAAGAGACATTTCTAGTAATATGGAACATATTTAATATTATTATCCGTATGCTTTGTCTGACAAACACAATATTGTATATTTGAGTTGTACTAGATTAGCACAACTTAGCGCAACTTTCGATTCCTCCAGAACATCGATATAAATGGCACTTTACTCTTGTTCCCGATGCGTTGCGCTACAGTTTTCCATCCAAAACATACATTAGCAACCATCTGAGAGACATAATATTGTATATTTGAATTGTACTAGGTTAGCACAACTTACATTCGATTTCTCCAGAACATCGATATAAATGGCACCTCACTCTTGTTCGCGATTCGTCGCGCTACAATTATCCCAAAGCCCATATCTGTTTCCTTTTAAAATGGTATAAATGTACTTTGGCGACAGATTTTTCCCAGTTACAACCCAGTTTTCAACAACATTACTAAATTTTTCATATATACTTCTGAACTTGGTGCAATAGATTGTCCGGAAGAATCCGAAAGAATCTTATATTCCCCTACTAAAATTATATTTAACAGTTTCAACGCGTGTTGAGCCATAGTAGTGAAGCACTAAAATATATATTGAAAAACAATATATTAGAAAAAGTAAAAACTTTCGCAACTGAAACAACTATTTGCAGTGTTACGCTCGTAGGTACGTATTTACATAGAGCATTAGCTGAAAACGAAAGAACAAGGCGAAAGATTCGTGCATCGACGCATCGCGAACAAGAGTAAAGTGACGTTTATATCGATGTTCCGGAGGAATCGAAAGTTGTGCTAATGTAGCACAACTCAAACATACAATATTGTGTTTGTCAAACAAAGCATACGGATAATAATATTAAATATATTCCATATTATTATACTAGAAATATCTTTTTTATCGTAAGATTTTTTTAGTCATTTTTTGAGAGAGATGTTTTAGCACAATGTTAGCACAACTTAGCACAACTTAGCAGAATTGGAAAAATTGAAATACAGTAAAAGCTGGATATATGCAACAAAAGTTTGGCTGGATATATGCAACATCGCTATCCCCTCCACTTGGGGGGATTCCCCTAAGCCGAACCGAGCCTCTCGGCGAGGAAACCGTGTAATATGATCCGACCGTAATATCGGTGTGACTAATACTAATTGAACGATAAAACTTTTTTATTTTTAACTTTTTCTTAATGAAACATTTACTAACGCATTTGTGAGATTTTTCTGATTAAAATGGTACCAAACACGATATGATTTGAATTATATTTATTTATTAAAATAATAATAAAACTGTACATATGTATAAGGCAGGCCGTACACCAAAGATACAAAGATGCAACATGCAACATGCAACACGTCGCATGTTGTGTACGAACGTAGAATAGGTATCGCGGCACAGTACAAACGATTTGTACGAACGTAGAATAGGTATCGCAGCACGGTACAAACGATTTGTACGGACGCAGAATCGACACCAAGACTGGATATATGCAACGTCTGAGTCCCAATGTTTGTTGCATATATCCAGCTTTTACTGTACATGGAAAATGTGGGGCTGGCCTAAAAATCGTGTTTTTCCTTCCTCCATCGTATTTTTCATATTGCGATTTTAATATTCGAGCACAATGTAGCACAAATCTAGCACAAGTCAGCACAATTGCTAACTTCTAGTAGGGGGCTAACTTCTAGTAGGTTGTGCTGAGTGGTAGTGGAAGAGTGTGGCTGCGTTGTGGAAATTCAACCGAGCATTACTGTATGTATAAACAGGGTGTTCGACAACAGGTGGGTAAAATTTTAAGGGGTGATTCTAGGGATCAAAATAAGACGAAAATCAAGAATAACGGAATAGCGTTTGCGACTTTGTTTTTCAGTAATTAACTTTTAAATATTCGAGTAAACAGTGCCTGAAACCTGCAATCCGCCCAGCATCGACGACTGAACGTCAGGTCAGTAGGGGAAGGTACAGTCATAACCAAGAATACCTCGTGCTATTCTGTTTCTCGGTACTGCAGCATTCGGCTTCGATTTTTGGTTATGACTGTACCGACCCCTGCTGACCTGACGTTCAGATGTCAGTGCTGGGCGGATTGCAGATTTCAGGCGCTTTTTACTCGAATGTTTAAACGTTAATTACTAGAAAACAAAGCCGCAAACGCTATTTCGTTATTCATGATTTTCGTCTTATTTTGATCCCTAGAATCACCCCTTAAAATTTTGCCCACCTGTTGTCGAACACCCTGTATATTTCTAACCATGCCTCATTAACCGTCATTTTCCTAGTCCGTTCAAATATTTATTCTCCTTACATGTTAATAGGTACTGGGTTACTTTCTGTAATTAATTTATGGGCATACTATAGTACTCAGTTTATTGAAAATTCAATATTGTACCATAGATTACATAGGTAAAATATCCGCGCTATAAGAAATTAGGAATGATATTTAAACTCATATTCTAACATTATATTAATAGTAATAACATGTATTATTCTTTATGTAGTATTAGAATATACATTTAGAATATATATATTTAAAGTTTTGCAATGCCAACAACTCCACAGGCAAGACGAGCTCCAGCATTTCCTGTGGTTTTTGATAACTCATGTCCACCTTTACCAAGATCATCTGGATCAGCATGAACCTGTTATTACATAAAATAAAAACAAGCTATGTTTATATACATGTATATATATACATGTAACATAAAATTTATTAGTTGTATAGTTTACCACAAGAGTTCTGCCAATTATGTTGTTTGGTCCTTGAAGCTGAATAATTTTATCAGTTATATTAACACTAGCAACTCCATCTGCACCTACTTCAATGTTTCCTAAATCTCCAACATGACGTACATCTGAATCAGGACCACCGTGATCTTTTCCTAACGGATTGAAGTGTGGACCAGCACTTGTACATCCTATCAAATTTAACATATATTGTATCAAATATTCAGTCAAATATACAGATAAGAATTATTTGGATTGAAAAAATCAAGCTAAGGTTTATCAATACAATACGATTGGAGTTGACACACAGGTCAACCTTTGATAAAACACAGGTATTAAAGGTCAAATATTAATGTTATATGAAGTTTCTTCTTATTTAAATGACATAAGAAAAATTGTAAACATTTATTGACTATTATTGATAATGTATACATTTTGTCTTCTCAATGAACAAAAATATTTACATATTTACTAATCGACCTCTAAAATTTATTTTTAAATATCATTAAATATCACCTTTATTAAATATCATCAATATATCTACCTAAGACTTATGAAATGTAAATTGTATTTCTGAACTATTTAAAGAAGTTTAATAGAAAATTACTTAGAATAATATACTCTAGAAATATCATACATACCATTAGTGTTATCGCCAAATTCGTGAATATGAAAACCATGCAATCCTTGCTTCAAACCGCATACCTGACCCGTGACCTTCACAGCAGGGCTATTGTCCTATTTAGTAATTAAATTACAAATAATATTAATGAAATAGTATTATAGAATATTACACGAAAACAATTATGGTAAAAGTCGGTTACCGGTTGTTCGAAGTACAGAGTGCCTTTGGCATCTCCTTGAAGAACGCACACGGCTTTAACCATTTTCGAAAACTTCGTATAGTCGAAACGACAGTCGCTACTAAAGTACAGCTCCACAGCAACAACTACCGCTAACCTACAACTTGTAATTATCGTTTTGCTGAATCACGAACGCAAATAAGCTGACGTATTGTACCTCTGGTACTTCAACCGATAAAATGATGACCTTACCGTTCAGATGAAATAATGGCGTATCACCGTATTACAAAAAATTGCGTTGAATGGGCATTGAAGATCATAAACGATGAATGGCAACCTTACCTAGGATTTTATGAAAATAAAAAGAACATTATATGTATATAAATAACTTTTTAATTTAATTTCCATGCTTCACATGTTATTACTACTTTACTTTTTATTAACTGTTTGGTACTTTTTGACAAACTTACATAGTAACATCATTTTAGGAAGTATTAATATCATTATTTTATAAATGATTTTCAATAGACTTATAATATAAAAATTCAGCAAATAATGTTACAATATAGTATATTTAATTTTAATTAAAATAAAAATCATAACTTTGAAAAAATATCCGATTTGTTCTATCGATAATCTTCAATGTATATCGAAAATTCGAGTGTAAGATGACAACTAACAGTAACAGTATTCAAGTTTAGTAGAGAAATTTGGTTATATTGTGACTTACACCGGGGGTGTTTTATTTATAATTAAATATTAAAAATGCCAGGGAAAATAGAGCATCGTTCGGTAACTCCTCTGTTAGCAGCATTTCGAAACATATTACGAGGTGTAAGTAATATTTCAACAATTTACTTAACCATTTCATATTACTTATTTTTTAGAAATTACATAATTTTTTGATTTCTGAAAAAATTGTATTCAAAACGTTTATTATACGTGCCATTAGCAATGCTCATTTAAATGAAATTACGATTCTGTATGTTGAGTAGTGTACGAAAGCTACTGTGTTATTGATTAACTAAGTGTTAAATATTGTTATTTTAAGTTTTATACAAAACTATAATAGAATAAAGTGTATATATATACGAAAATATAAACATGAATAAAGGAACAGAATAACACATATTATCTGAGAAAAAATGCATATTGTAGAGACCTATTATAGAAGCACTAAGATTTGCGGATTGTCTTGCTGCACGTACTCAACCACCTCCGAATATACCTGGAGGGCCATATCATAAAACTTCAAAGGTGTATTATTTCACACGTGATGCTAGACGTCTTGTTCAACCACCTATAGAAGTGCTTGCACGTAAACAAATAGGAGCAGGGTAATTATATTTGATATTCTGTGTAATCTGTTACTATTATAGTCTAATGTGTAATACTTGTTATATTTATTTCAGGAAAGATGTTTCTACTGAAATGAAACACTGTACACCAGGTAAAATTTATATACCTGATAAATAAAATGTGATAAGATTATTGTGAACTTTGACTGTAGTACATAATAAATATCATAAGATAGATAAGAATTATGTGAATAATAATGTTTTTAAGATATATGTAAATTAATAAAGCGAAGGTTATTTAATTACTTTTCCTTTTAATGTTTAACCGATAACAGTACATACATAATAAATAGAGGAATGTTCTTCATGTACATGTTTTCTGCTCAATAGCAGATATACAGAACAATTTTTTAATTTATAATACATTATCATTACATACATACAAAGCATAATGCTTTCATAAAATTTATGTAAATCTAAGAATAACATTGACACTGAGGAATTTGTACAGATGGCAGATTTTACACTGCTGTATCTAACAATATAGTACACGATGTATGTACTTATTTAACAATCTTTGCAGAAATAACGAATTTCTCTGTTATGAACTAACAATTATAAACAGAAATTAATTGGAAACATTAATTTAATAAGGAATTTGATTTTGATAATACTGTATCATGTCATAAGTTTTCGTACGGAAATTGAGGTAGCTGTTACGTATTACATTGAGCATATAGGCCGCTGCTTCACGATCGGTAGCTGTCGGCACGAATCTACCGCGTAGAAGCTTTATTGTTTGTCCACGGAAACAAGGCAATCCGGTATCAAGCATAAGAGAAACCAGAGAAATAATTGCCTCTTGGTAGGGTCTATAAAACAACATTATAATTTGATTAAAACTTCTGTATAGAATATTAATATAAGAGAAATACATAAATTAGTTAATAGAATATCTCCAAAATTCTATCATGATATATTTACCTTACTGCAAGGAAAGCCTGTACACATAGTTCCATGAACCAACGAAAAGGTGCAGCCTCCATTTTACCGCCCATAACGAGCACCATCTCATCAGTCAGCTTAATATCCGGTTCAAAACCTAAATTACCTCCTGGCGAACTTTCAAACATGAATCCAAAATCGATATGTATAATGTGGCCTTCGGTATCTAACATAATGTTACCATTATGACGATCTTTTATTTGTAAAAGATACGTGATCACACTGTAAGCAGCCATGGATTTCACGAAATTTCGGCGTACGTTCTGAAATTCCTTTGTTGTTTCATCTCCGTAACGTGTTATGAAATACTGGTGCATATCAATATCAGTGGTTCGACCAAGTTGATCACGCGATGTTGCGTTTGGTACGCATTCTATAACACCACACTGAAATAACGGTTCATAGTTTAAAATTCAGTTCAGAGAAAATTGTATACTAAACTTTTTTTCAAAATTAAAATTATTTACCCCCGGTGCTGTAGCTACTACTCTATAGGGGAACAAAAATAAGTTTAAGCCAGCTTTTTCAAATATATTCTTGAAAATACTGATTACTTGTAGTGCCAACATATCTTGTCTAACATCGTCACCAACTTTAAAAATAGCAGCCTGCCACGTTTCTTTATCTGGTTCCCTTTTAATGTCAACTTTCCCATTAGCCGACACCGCTAATGCAATATTTTCTAATTCATTAATTCCATATTTTTGCACTTTAAAACGCGCCAAAAATGGAGCTTTCGCGGCACTGTAAATGATAATTATGTATTAAGTATCAAGATATCAAAACGTATAATAAATAAATAATACCTCTGCATAGGAGTTCCACTATTATAATCAATATCAACAACCATAGCTTCAGGATTAGATGGTAAATAGCAACCAGGTTGTACTTTGATTTGAGATAAAGCTTTCAAGCACGCTGCTTTACGTTCAGGACCTTTAGGAAATTGCCTTATATAACCAGAAATATTTGTAATCTTTTCGAAAAATTCGAATTCCCTTTCATAGAATTGCTTCGCTGGACCAGATAATGATCCTAAAATACTTTTCACTAACGAGTCCAATACATCATACAGAACAAGATCTTTTATTTGTTTATCTTCATCCATGTACATATTTGTATGCATATTCCAAATTAACTGATGTGCCACTACCTGTATAAAATAAATAATAACAATCATATTTTATAACAAGATACTAACTAATAGAGTAGCATTTACAAAATACTATTTTTAGTACTTACTTGAGAACGTTTAGCAATTTTTTTTATAAATTCTATCACATAACCCATAGTATCATGACGTACAGCTTGTACAAGTTGTGGTATATAGAATAGCACGGCATCTGCTGGATAACTACTTAGCACCTCTACTGCATACTGAGCAGAAATTGGATGATGAGGAAACTGACGAGAGAAATAAGCCAATGCTTGAATGGGCGATACTCTCTCCCACGTAAGCATATATACCAACTGAAATACATTGGATTAATAAATTAGGATCTTTTAATTGTACAAAACTGTTAATATTAAAACGTATCTTACTTCAGGTACGTCATTAAGTAATGTTTCTGTTGTAACAAGGTATTGTAAAGCTTCAGGAATATGCATAACCGGTACTGGTTTACTGCGAACGAGTCCACATACTTCTTTGATAATTATATCAGAATTTTTTAGTCGTACTGGTAAAAATACAGCAAAAACAGGACTAATCTCCCACGCGAGACGTGTATATTCACGCCACCGATCATTCATACCTTTAGCACGCCATTCTGCTATACTCGATTCACCTGAAAGTGCAAGCTCCTGTCTTCCACTAGGATTCCTCCATACCTGCAATTGAATCATAATTAACAAGAAATTTTACAGTAAAAATATCAAACATAGGAATTGAACGTACCAATAACATTTCTATTTCAACCGCCAACAGTTCAAGAATTAAATTTCTTTTCTTTATGTAATCTTTTACAAATACATTGGCGTTCATAACTCGTTTACTACGATTACTACGTTTACCCAATGTATTACTACTGGTCGACATTGGGACTGTATTAATCCATACACTTGAAGCTGTTTTGGAATATTCACTATTTGTTGTGTTTAAGGCTGTACTTAAGGAACCAATCGTTTCGCTAGGTCCAAAACCACCAGTCGGGCAGGACTGAGGAGTTGGCATTTCAAATTCACTTTCGTTACCAGTCATCACTAAATATTTTTTATCGCTATGCATAACCTATGATACAAAGGAGAAACTATAAGATGCCAAGGAAAAGTATTCGATTAAAGAGTATCCTTCATTGTGTTTATTCTATTCACCTGCCAGAAACGTATAAGCGTAACTAAATCCTCGCGTAATTGTTCAAGTTCTTGCGTCGGTACTTGACGATCTCTACAGAAATAATCCAAACAATTGCAATACACGCGTTCTCGTAGCACATTTTTGCTCAATGTCCTGAAAATCAAATTCATTGCCTATCCCTTTATTCATTAAGATATAGTGAGTGTTTCATCCTATACGAAACCTTGGTAAGATATCCCCTTGAAGAAGAAGTAGTCCGCAAGAGAGCAATTTAAATCGTACACCAACTGCAGCAACGTGACGACTCATTCCTGGCTCTTCACGAGAAGCACCGACAGTCATGGGTAGCGATCGATGCAGCAGGGTGACAATCATGTCGACTGTTTCTTGGCAACAATATTTAGCAGTTTCAATCAATTCCACGATAAAAGTAACCCAGATATCATGAGGTTTTACTTGTGGAGGATTTGGACCAAGCTTACAGCCCTCGTATACAGCCAATGGACTAACTTCCTCTTCGTCTGGAGCAAACAGACCCATTCTCTTATCAACGGTGTACTGCCATGCAACAAGCATTTCCTGCAAGAAACGTAGCTTGAGATCTGGCCGTACAGTGAGTATCCATTGCCAACATTCAACTGTCGTGGTCATAGCTGCTGGGGTAAATAATTCAATTTGTGAGGAAGCTACTGTGTGAAGCAAACGCCTGTGGATTCCTAAAAACACGAATTATAAATCATATAAATTATAAAAAAAATGGAGAGAATACATACAATATAATCTGCAAGATAAAATGAATCATTCGCAGGTCAAAGTGATTAACCCTATTTTTTGAATTTGTTAAAATTTTAGTACCATAGCACTCAATTGATGTTTAATTTTTTGTATTTTATCAATTTCTTTACATTTTGATTTTTTGAAGTTAATCGATTTGGCTAGTGAACGGTGCACATGATTATTAATTACCAGGCATAGAGATTAACAATGCAGTAGCACGCCAAAGAGCACTACGATGAGCAACGTCGTTTCGAGAACGACAAGCCATCCATACAGCATCGATTAATAGATCAACAACTTTGTTTCTACTTTCTTCAAAAGATATTTCAGAAGTGGAAGATTCAGTTTGCGCTAGTGACAACATTCCTGCTATTTCACCAGCGTATCGTGCTCGTGTCGACATCATCGATAGTAGCCACGAGCTGACTCCTTTTGGACCACGTGGTCGTTTGTCTAATGAATTAGTCTAAAATAAATATTTCATTACGTTAATAATTAAGACACTTTAAGAGTTACATATTAGAAGAAATCATGTTACATTAGGTATAACTGAGGTGGGAACAGCTAAATCCACAAATTCAAGCACAGAGTCTGTAGACAAACATAAACCAGAATGATGCTTTAATCCAGAAGAGAGAATCTGATTTACATATTCTTGTAAATGTGATCTGGTGGCTTGGGGTGCCCACTTCATAGCTTCCTGTACTATGCCTTTACATCTTGCAGTGAAATCTTTAACTATGATCTGTATTACAAAATTGAATTTTAATTTCTGAAGGACTTACACTTTCTTTTTAAGTTACAAGTGATTATACCTCTCGTGCCTCAAGTGTGTCCATAAGTTCAATACTGTATAATGTCCCAGGTATTCGCAGAATTGGTGTTTCCTCGTTTGGATCAATTTGTAAGGAGAATGATAAAATCTATAAAAGTTGTTTCATGAAATACATTGATGTATACAGGTAGGATAAATAAAATTCGTACCTGTAATATGTCCAACATACTCCAAAGTACTTTGCAATTCCACAAAAGATGTGGAAAGGCATCTACCAACGCGCTAAGGTATTTATCTGCTATTCGTCTGATCTGCTTATGTACATGATTGAAATGCACCAGAAGAAATTGCGCATGATTTTCGAGTTCCTTCTCGCGTCTCTCATCTTTCGGCTTGCGCTGCATTACATCTTTGAATTTTACAAACACGGAATCAGCGACACAGCATATGCATTGCCACATTCCGCTCTTTTCCTTTTGCAAATCGGTATCGCATAAATATTCCATTATCGGTTGCAAACTTGGCTCAGGACTATTTGCCACTCTTAATGTCTCTAACCAATACACTGATAACAAATAGGTGCATTGGGCAAATTGTAATTTTGTCACGTACTGCGATATGTCGTTGGTCCTATGAAAAAAACTACATCGACTATTGTTCTTTAATGGGAATTTATAAAATAAAAAAGTAAAGGCAACAGTGGTATTTACCGAGTATTCAACTTTAACACTTGACTCCTTAATTCCTGTAATTCGTTTAAAGAAACGCTGTCGTTGCGCACGGCTGAAGTGTATTGCAATTCTCTCATCTCGAGTCGTGCACTGGTTTGAGATATCAGATACGGTGATTTAACAGCGATTTCTTTAACGCCTTCGTACCATTCTGCAGGCCATAATCTGGATGCTTGATCTCCAGCAAAACCCATCACGACACAATAAAGCCAAAAGTCTTTGAAAAGCTTCAAAAGTCTCTTCTGTGGATGCCTGATCGGTGGAAGTCGTCTTACTAATATAGCGATTACAGGAATGAGTACACCCAAATTTCCTGCACTGGTTGCCGCCTTCTAAAATACAATGAATCAATTTAAATCAAGTTCTATAAGATATTACATAATTATTATTCAAACTGTTCATTTTGATTACCGTAACCGTGACATTTGCTTTATCGCTGGCACGTTTACCCTCTAATCCAAGTTGAACAAAAAGTTCGAGCAAGTGAAGCAGTAAATCGTTTAATTCTGTTTCACCTTGTAAATTTGCAGCTATGTTAGCAAGAGCGTTCGTGACTGCTTTAGCTACGTGACAGTACTGTTTACGATCATCGTTCGACGCGTATGTTGCAGTACTCGAACCCAAAGACATAGAGAACATCTGCATGATGCCTTCGTAAATCTGAAAAATTTCAATAATTTCAAAACCCTATTCTTTTGTACAACATGCGAAAATCTTCGCAATTGATTCAGTAATACTGAATCTAATTAATTTTAAACTCAACCTTTGACTCGCATTTTGCGATGATCATGCATCCTAACTGATCGACGATTAGAAAATCAAGATCGCTCGGGGTACGGCAAAATAATTGCTGAAAAAATGGAAATATTGTGCGCATAGTCTTTGGGGTGTCTTTCAATGCAACGGCAACGTGTCCCAACATGATTACTATGTTTTTTGAAATTAATTCGCTATTTGATCTGTCATCAGATTCACTAAAATTATTGAAACAAATAATTCAGCCATGGTAAAAGCTAAGATATAAAATTAAAGAAACTGATTAAGACTGGTATAAATTGTGAAAACTTGTGACAATACCCGTCGCATATATCAGCAGCAAATAATCTATTCGAGACACTAGCGACCAGTGCCGGCACACAATCGGGGTTAACAGAATGGGCTGCTTCTAAAGCAATGCATAGATTTCCAATAGCTGCATCTCGTAATTTTTCAAAGGCTGTGTGTATCGATGACGTAGTTTGTTTTGGATCATGCAGATCTTTTCCTATAAAAACAAATTTATTTCATTAATTACATGTGATGCAAGATCTTACATTAACTAATCATTTTATATTACCTTTATCAGTTCGTTGACGGTGTAATTTAAGAAGTATAGGTGAGGGTACAACAAGGAAATCTCTGAGATAATATATAGAAGTACTTGCTATGTTGGGAAACTTCTGTGCTAGTTTTCCTAATCCTTCAAGGCAAACCATTAGCAAAGGCATATGCGCCAGCACCAGTTTTGGTCCATGATTAGAGTTAATTTTTTCAACTAAACGACTGCATAAACTATCAGCACCTGCAAGAAATTTCAATTACATAAACATTGTCCACAAATATAAATTAATAATCATAGATGGGTTGAGAAACTCTTGTTAATTCTAAAAAATCCTGCCAGGTAGTGAAGAAATTCGTATGAAAATTAATGTTATACTTCGAAACGTTGTGAAAATGATTTTGCCTACATAAGTAAAAACTCATTGATTGTTCTTTTTTTTTCTTCTTGCAAACAGTTAGAACAAGGTACAAAGATTATACGTTTAGTGGAATAATATTAGACCAACAAGGTTAACGGGAGATCCGCGTTAACTCACTGTTAGGTCATAAGGCGTATTCGTTAGTTAAAACTATTGAAAGTTATCATAGATATAGGATAATCAATCGAAATGCAATATTAGCTAAATTCGAATACCATCGCCAATCAGCATGGAACCGATATCTGCAAATAGCGCAGATATATCATACTGGTTTCTCACTGTAAAAATAACGCAATGATAGATAATCCTACCAATATAGATTTTCATTTAATTTATCATTTTCCTATTCTAATATATTCTATTGCTTTTCGAAAATGTATATAGGCGTTGTTCGACAATTTTAATTTTGCTTACCGGTTTCATCGCCAATCGCCCAAACAAGGAGATCAACGCAAGCAGAATTAGCCATAACATTTACTTTAAATCTATTTACAGTTCGAAAATTAGTATCCATGTCTTCGCGCTCGCTCGCGTCATGTTGACGCGATTGTAATTCCGTCTGGCCGGATAAAAAGAGGCCCTTTACAAATTCTTGCACATCCTTTGTGAAAGGCGCTGGCAAATCCCGTTGATTTTGCAACAATTCTCTTAAAAGGGCAACCATTACTAAATTCATTGTCTCGTTAAATGTTCTATAAGGAAATATCTGCACCTGTCCAGAGTTATAAACCTAAAAAGATTGTAAATAATTAGATAAATATAGTAACAGAATAGTAAGATTTTATCATATAATAGTGAAACTGACTTGTTGAGCTTCTTCGTCAAGAAACATTAAAATCTCTTTAGTAAGTAATTTCTTTGCTAAAGCCAGTACACTTTGCAAATGAACTACACTGAAATGCATCCCAGCTCTCCTTTCAGGACTTTCGTTGCACCTCATTTGAGGGAACTGATTAAAACTTGATCCGTATCTGCTAAAAAAATATGTGACTGGATCGTAAGGTACCGATGTGTATGAATTTAACGATGGTCGTTTGTCACAGGGGTTATCGTGATCTCCGATTAATAGGCTCGGTGCGTTATCGATATTTGGATGAGGATTTAAATTGCCACTTAAAGAGCGTGGAATAATTGGACGAAAGTTTGAAAAACTATATTGTTTCTTATCTGACGTTGCACGTGTTTCTGTGTTTGGTATTGTTAGAGGTGGCGTTGGTTTTGGAAAAATACGACAAAGAAGAGGTGGGTCTGTAGAGGCAAAACGACCCATTGATCGAGCTAGACCGATTAAAACTGGAACTATACATTTGCATAATGACACTGAAAGAAGTAAAAACAAAATTAATATTGTATGGAATCAAATAAAGGAATAATAAGACAAAGTACTTACATTTTGCTTGCATTCCTCTACTCCCATTCTGATCTTTGTATCCCCTTATAAGATTTGTTAACACTGCCAATATTTCTACTTGAGTAGAAATGATTTCTTCGCGCACAGCCTCACATCTGGCTGCCACATCACTAAGCAACGTGTTCAAGCAAAAGCTAAAACGTTCAGCAACAGGGATACGCTCACTGGGTGAACATTTGACCTCGTCCAGCCAAACAGCTTTTGGAAGGCCACGCAGTAAGCGCAGAAGATAAGGCAATATCCGATCTCGATGTTGTAAACCAGATTCCAAAAAATATATTCCCAGTGCAATGGTTGCATCTTGACCTCTTTGATCCAGCCGATATATACCTTGAGCAGATTCTTGTGGGCATAACTTGAATAGTTGCATCACCTATATTAATCAAAATCATATTTAATATTTATTAAAACAAGATTATTTTGTTCTCAATAATTATACAACAATAATAATAACAGAAGTTTAAAAAAAGTTTCTAACTATTTAACTATTATGTTTAATTTAATAATAATTTTGTAGATATGTTTATATCATATTAAAAAGGTATATTAAATATTCACATAATGTATTTTGTAACAAGAATTGTTACTTTATTTAAATTAAATATACATAAAAACAATAATACAAAATAATACATTATTAAAATTAAAAATAAATTGCTATGTTAGTCAATTAATTAGAAAAATCATTTTTCCCAATTTGCATGCATATATGTATGGGTTTGAAATTAAAATCAAATACTATAAATTAAACATAAGAAGAACATTTACCCGACAATTTATTCATGTACAGAAATATAAACGTTTTATGAATTTCAAAAACAGTTCCATAAACTGAGAGTTATGTATAAGACATGTGTCAAAATGCATTTATTTACAAATGTAGTGACATTAATTATTAATTGGAAACGTCTTATTAGTGTATAAGTGAACCAGTAAATTGTCCTTCGAATTATATCATAAGATGACATATCAGGATCAGCTGATACGTCCTTACGATTAACCTAATCCTGATTAAGCAAATGTCAAACGTTGAGCAACGTGTGAATGTGATAAAAATATTCTATTAATATACAATTAGTAATCAGTCTGCTTTAAGTTAGTAAACGTCGACGTACCTTTTCCCATGGGGTAGGTTTGATTGCCGCCAGACATCTAGCTAAATGTTGAACGGCTTTCGAGAAAAACAACCTCTCGTCTGCCACCATTTTGCCCACTGACCACTGTATGTACCAAAGAGTAGATACTTAAGAGTTATTCTTTGACTGTACTTGTACATACATATCCATGTACCCTTCCCGTAAATCGGATCTCCTCTCTTTATTTGAGATATCGATTTCTCGAAGTTCAAGTTCAAATTGGTAGCGCTTTTTTTGTATAATAACCCCGTTAGCTGAACTTTACTTTAGCGGACACAAAATTATCCACTTTTTTCTCCTCAATCTAATAGTTTTCGATGCGTAGAATCCAAAAATGCCGGTTTTAACTGTCGAAATGCAGCGGTTTAAAACTTATGAGCGTGTAAAGTTTGACACTTTTAGTGCATTTGCTACGTTACTGCAACGCCATATTGGTTTCTTGTCCAATGAACGGTGTTGCTAGCTGCAGGCAGCAGGTGCCGACCATTTTAGTAGGTTTAGTCGTTTAGTCAAACCGAAAATTTGATGTTGTCCGAGTTAGTTAGGTTTATATTTATCTTAGAGAGAGAGAGTATAGCCCATACATTTGCTTATTACTTCTACTGTATCAATTTTATGAGTAATTTAAATACAGCTAGTAATGGAATCCGTACCCAACAAAATTTACTGTCCCCTAAAGTTTAACCGCGCCGTTTGGTATTGAAGAGAACTGTAAATCATTTAAATCAACGAAATCAAAAACTCGTTTTTGACACTTGACCGGTCATTTTATAATTTTCAATGAATTTTCGACATAGAATTTTTATTTATCAAAATTTATATTTATTTCAACTATAAACTATTCATGTGCACATCTTTAAATGGCAACTTTTAGTCCATGACAAGTAGTATTCTAATTTTTTACAGTATAAAAGCAAAACTTTCTTTGACAAATTTACATTATTTATATTATATCTTTGCGCAAATTTTATTGAAAATTCTTTGTTCTCATTTTTATTTGTATGTTTGGATATTGATTCTTTAGTTGCTGTAAATAATCTGTATAACTCAGAAAGGGCAACAGCAATATAGAGATATTTGTTTTTCTGATCTGGTCCCTGCATTATTAAATTCCCAGCTTCTTGAACGGCCGATAAAGTTCGTTCATCATGTGGTAACCAATCACACTAAAACAATAATGTTTTTAATGTTTTTAATCTTTAATCAATACATATCGAAAATTTTAACTACCAGATTACTTACACTGATGATATTGTGAACAATAGAAGCTATTGCTGACTCTGCTGTTTCATAAACTGTATTCAGTTTCATGTTATTACAAAGGTCAAGAAAGACAATTGTAGCTTCTATTGGACAACTTAAATAATCCCCATTATAATAATTTGCTATGTATGCATATGTATATATTACGTTCATTATGTTATAATTAATTTTTGAAGAAGCTTTCTACAATAGATGAAACATTATTTCCATTATTTATGATGAAATTATTCTATTTGAAAAACTCATTTTGTATATTACCTGTAATTCATTAAATATTGGAACATCTACTATGGAAGGACGTTGCTTTGTTTGCTCATCATCTTGCTGATCTATATCTTGAACAAGTTTCCTTTTAACATGGTATGTCCACCATGGAATCCACTGAGGCAATAATTTCTCGATTTCACCATTTTTTACTAAAGCTTCAAATTCTTGTCTCTCAGCATCAGTTAATGCAGACCATACTTCATCCGCATTATCCAAATTTACTTCATGTAATCTTTTTCCTAAATCTGGTACCTGGAAACAACCAATAGAGTATATTAAACAGAATTTAGGAAAGAAATATTTGATTAGCATAAATATAGTTTTTTTTTCTACGTCTTCATCATCTGAATCCAGCTGTTCATTTAGCTCTTCTCCTTCTCCTTCTTCTTCTTCATCACCTGCTAAGAAATTAGTGTTTCTTAAATCCTGCTCGTGTACCCTTTTAAGAATTTCAAGCATTTTCTTTCTACTTTCTGGATCGTTTTCTTGAGATTTTAATTCTTCTTGTATACACTGTTTATAAAAACTCTCTGAACATTCTAAATGAGTTTCTGATTTATAACAATCAGTACTACAATATCCTATTTCACATCTTGGACAAGTATATAAACGAGGACGAGTGTTACACCTAAAATTAGAGTAAAATACTATTTGATATTTAATTCTGGACTGTTTATTAACACAAATTTTGAGGTTAGGATCATAAAACGTACAATTTACAAACGTTATCCGGATTCGTTGCACTTGTTCCTGGCTTGTTCATTATTCTGCTATAAATGTATTTAAAATTTTAAACATAAAAACCATTAATATTTATTTATGTATCAGTATAACAGATTTCAAACAGAGTACGTTTTTTACGTCGGATTCTTCGTAACAGTACGATGTATAATAATTTTCAATCTGATTATAAATTCATATATAGAAAAAAAATATTATACTTTAAAATTTCGGGTCTTATGTACAAAATCATTTATTTTTATGCTTTACAAGTAGGTTTGAAATGAATAAATGCAAAACCTAATCTAGAACTAAGATTTTTCCACTAAAATACCACTCTTCAGTCTCTTATATTGGAATTCAGGTTCTTTTCGTTTACTTGTCCAAGCTTTAGTTTCTACTTTTGATAATATCCATTCAGGATCTACAGCAACCTCCTTGCATTTTATATAATTTTCTTCATCATCTATGGTGGTTTCGATTTTCCTTTTTTGAGATTTTTCAACTTCTTTTTCAGTTACTACACATGTAATGGAGGAATTAAGCAATTTAATACCCAAATCATTTCCTTTCTCATTTATAATATCATCTTCAACTTTGTTGTTGTCATCAACAGAGCTAAAAAAAGAGATTGTTATTATACAAATTATGAGTATTCAATATAAACATAATATTATTGAAAATAATGTACTTCTGTAGTATTTCATTCAGTTTCTTTGCAACATAATTTTGAAATGTTGGAGTCACACCAAAATTTGAAAATTCATTCTGTTTTTCCTCCACATTTTTTCTTAGGCTTTTAGCAGGATGTTTACTTTGTTCTATTTTATTTATGAATAAAAGATATTAATTAAATTATATAATAAAGAGTAAAAAGCTATACATACAGTAAGTAAAAGTAAGGTTATAACACTTACTTTGCCCATAAGTGGTTTTAGAAGTTTCAGACTTCTTTGTAGAAAAACTAGTATTTTCAAACAATTTATGATCTGTCGCTTCTTTTAATGCATTTTGTAATTCTTCATCTTCAGAACTACTAAAATCATTCCTGTTTTTTTTCACCGTCATTTTAAATAATTTGATACTGTATATATATATGTATGTACTGATATGTACTCTGACGAGGGGAACTACCCAAGTGTTACGCTCACTTATTAATGAAACTTTGCCACCTTGTAGAGCTCGTCGCCCTGAACACGCCTATACCCCCTTTTGGGGGCAGACGGCTAATTGTTTAAAAGATATTAACAATTAAAGTTAGTTACTACTTACATTGAGAAGCATGACAAACTAACACACATAAATGCTTAGCTCCGCGGTAAAACGCTTGACTCACAATCTAACTGTCCACGGTTCAAGTCCATGGTTCCGAACTTTTTTTTTCTTTTTCTTTTTAATGATAATTTGTCTCTTTTTGAATAACTATTACAACTGTGCTATAATCATTGCATTTATTAATAGGTAATTAATTACATGTGCTGAAATTTTTATAGAATTTAAGTTATCTTTTCTATCCAATGCGTACATTAACACCCTTACAGCATTCAAAATTTACTAGCGTTTATTTGTTATTATACACACACAATTAATTTCCATAAAATACGAATATAATTTCTGTCCTATTGTTTTGGATTCTTCACTAATGTCTTCTGCGTCTTCTTCTAATGTTGTAAATATAAATTATAAATTTGCACAGTAGTATAAATGAATGTAACTAAATAAATATAATTAAATAAATTGAACTTGTAAAAACAAATAATAACAAATAAACGCGTGTAAATTCTGAATCCGGTAAGGGTGTTAATGTACGTATTGGATAGAAAAGATAACTTAAATTCTATAAAAATTTCAGCACATGTAATTAATTACCTATTAATAAATGCAATGATTATAGCACAGTTGTAATAGTTATTCAAAAAGAGACAAATTATCATTAAAAAGAAAAAGAAAAAAAAAGTTCGGAACCATGGACTTGAACCGTGGTCAGTTAGATTGTGAGTCAAGCGTTTTACCGCGGAGCTAAGCATTTATATATGTTAGTTTGTCATGCTTCTCAATGTAAGTAGTAACTAACTTTAATTGTTAATATCTTTTAAACAATTAGCCGTCTGCCCCCAAAAGGGGGTATAGGCGTGTTCAGGGCGACGAGCTCTACAAGGTGGCAAAGTTTCATTAATAAGTGAGCGTAACACTTGGGTAGTTCCCCTCGTGAGTTGCATTGAACTTGTCGCAGTGAAGTTGGCTACAAATTTACTAACACATTCACGCCGCGTCGGTGAGTCGATCTCGTCCATCGTCTCACCAACGCAGCGTGGATGTGTTAGTGAATTTGTAGCCAACTTCATTGCGACAAGTTCAATGCAACTCAGTGTACATATGTACATGTATACTGTATAGTATGCATCATAGTGTCCATTCATCTAGTGAAAAAGCAATAAAGGGGAAAGTGCCCCTACCACCGGGTCACGCGCGAGCGTAGAGCCATTATGCCTCGTTCGTATGAGAAATACCTTTGTATTTCAGGAGAAAAGAAATTTTTTCATATAAATGCTTAGTCGGAGACGCGAGGCAGTTCATTCCTCAACGAGTAAAATATATAACCAGCACGATTAGAAACTCGGTTGTCGAAATAATTAATCGCGTCGAGCCTCAGACGCCGAAACTGGCTCCCTTCGCCCTGTAGGATGGTGCACGAAACTGCGAACGTATACTGTGATTCCGTACCGAACCGGAAGCTGCATAAGAGCCTCTCTCTCGCACTATAACTTCCGTCCTTGTTTCACCCCATTTCACTCTGACTCTACGAAATATAAGGGTACGGTCCGTTTTTATTCTGTTGTTTGCAGATGGTAACTGATATAAAAAGGTTTTTGGGACAATTATTGTTGTTCTTAATCCCATTTATCGTTTTCTTTAATCAAAAGCTCATATTTATTAATCCGATTAAATGTTATTATAAACAATTATTTTTTACATTATATTCTTTTAACATTTGTATCTAAAATAGTAATTCACGTTAATTAAGATTGATTACTATTGAATACAAATGATTTTAAAAATTATCTGTTACCTACATGTAGAAAAAGTGGAGAGGAACGAGGGGAATTGGGTATTGAATTGAAGATTTTTATTATAGAGCTGCACCCACGTTTAAGATTTTGGTGGCTCTGAAAAGAGCCGTTTGTTTGGTAGTTTCGTAACTCGCGAATCAGCAATACTTCGCGAGGGAGAGTTACGCAAGTAAACGAGCGAGCATTCATAACAACCTGTTGATCATGCCTACGCTTCGATTTCATTCGCTTTTATCAGATCGGTGTAACAACAAATTATCCGACGGTGATGGGAAACGTTTTTCATCTGTCACGAATGATTGACACTCCTTTCCTTTTTCTGCTTTTGCTTGTGTGTC